ACAAATTACTATAGTATTACTAAGTTAATTATTTTCTGAATTCTATTTCTTCTCATGGTAGCAAATACCTAATTACATACAACTTAGCAATTTATGCAAACTATTACAAATAACATGATTTCTATAGAACATAATTAAATGCATTCTTTTAAGCTTTTGGGTGCTACTGAATTACACACTTAAGTTAAAAGATTATAGTACCAAATTTGCATTAATCGGTGACAATCACAACAGCCTATGGCATCATAACATCTGTTCAGCCAACAAAACCACTGGCTTAGCCCTGTCCAATTCTGCAGGAGCTCCAAACGTTATGAAGCAGTCTCTTGAGGCAGTCTGTGTTGTGGCTGAGGTGTAAGCTCTGAAGCCTGGTTTCAAAGTCCAGCTGCCCCTCTTGCTAGCTGTGGCCTTTGGAAAGTTACTTTACCTCTATGTGCCTCGTTCCTCATCTGTATAGTAGAAATGATAAGAATATCTGTTTCTTCGTTGAAAAAATTAAATAAATTAATATGCGTATACATGTGTCACGAGCGACTGCTAGGCTCACAGTCCGTGCTGCAGTCTCTTCCTGCAAGTCAGAAGGACTAACCCATGAGAGATCTACCTGGCACTGACTGAGGCCTCTGTGGTAGCCGCGGCACGAGCAAAAAACAGAGCATGCAAGATCTTAAATGCCTTTCAATATGCTCTTTACTCAAACATCAACACACCAAACAGTAAAGCACACAGAGTAATACAATAATTGGGTAAAATAGAGTAACGAACCAGTCCCAAAGTCAATCAGAGTCCAGGTAGTGCACTGGTCTGGGAGGTCAGTCCAGCAGAGGTTCGGTCCGAGTGGAACAAAGCTGAGTGGAGGGTTCTTGGAGCCGAGCGACAGCATGGTCACCTCTCAGTCAAGACCAGCTCTCTGAACTGCAAAAGTCCTTAGTTTTTATGCAGTTTTGAGGGCCTTTCTGACGTCACCTTATCAGGGTAGCCAGCCGGTGACCTCACTGTCCTCTTATCATCAGTAGCAGGCCTTTGGAGTATAGCTGGTTACACCCAATTACCAGAGCAACTGGGCAGTTCCCTGGACGTTGTCTGCTGAGTTCTCTGCGCATGTCCAAAATGGAGTTACTCTTGCTCATGCAATATAGAGTCACTCTTGCTCACACAAAACTCATTCTAACAGCTTCCACGGGTGCTCTATACAACGTGATTACAAAAGCATTTAGATCAATAAATGCCAGCTATCTATCTATGTGAGTAGCATATCCCCACCTTTTCGCAGGAAATACATTCCAAGACCCCCAGTGTGCCTGAAACCCTAGTGCCAAACCCTATATATACTTTGTTTTTTCCTATACGTACACACCCTGAGGAAGAAGTTTATGGTTTCTCTTTGGCATTTCCGAATGCTCAGCAACACTATTTGAGCTTTGGGGCCATTATTAAGTAAAATCAGGGTGGCTTGAACACAAGCACCACGGTACTGAGACAGTCGATCTGATCACTGAGAAAGGTACTAAGTGACTAACAGGTGAGGAGCACCTACAACATGGAGATGCTGGACAAGGGGATGATTCACAGCCAGGCACGACGGAGTGGGATTTGTGAGATTTCATTCGCTTTTCAGAATGGAACACAATTTAAGACTTAGGAATTATTTCTGAAAGTTTCTATTTAATAGTTTCAGACCACGCAGTTAACCACAGGTAACTTAAACGGTGTACAGCAAAACCATGGATAATTAAGGGGCATTACTGTATATCATCTCTCCCTGGTTTTCAGAGGAGGGAGCCCACTCACTCCACCCTACAAGAATACTGCACTCTCCAAGGAACCAACTTCCTTTCTCCTCTTCTGTTTCCTTCTGTCTCCTGGGAGTTGAGAATGGTGGTGGCAGGGCCAGTCCTGGCATTTCCCAGCATGCCCTGTGGAGGGGAAGCTGACCTCCTGCTGGCCTTTCCTTTGAGTTTACAATGTGGGTCACTTAGAGCCTTTAGTTCTTAGCTTTGAGCTCAGCTACCATTCTGGGACAAGGGGAAAAGGCCCATTTGGCATGTTATCCTGTCACTTTATGAAGCTTAAACATTCAGCCTTCCAACATGGCTTGTTTTCTGCATGATCAGAGAAAGTATTTACCTCACCCAGTTTCACACAATGTTTGTCAAACCCGGCAGGAAGCCCTGGATTCACTCTAGTATTATGTAAGTACCTAAAAATCCTTTTTTTCTTTCTAACTCCCACAACACAGAGCTCTTTAACACTGCCTCTCTCTTGCCTATCTTCCAGGGGGTTGAGTGGGTCAAACATCTTGAAAATTTATTGTTTTAGAAGGCAGCTTTGCTCACCACTATACCATCAATGATGCACTAAATGGAGAACCATATGATTTCACTTATATGTAGGATATAAAACTGAAAGCAACAAAAAAACAAGACAAACAAACAAAAACCCATTGACACAGACAACAGTTTAGTGGTTACCAGAGGGTAAGGGGGGAGAGGGTGGTAGAAGTGGGTAAAGCAGTCAAATATATGGTGATGGAAGGAGAACTGAATCTGGGTGGTGAACACACAATGCAACATACAGATGATGTATTATAGAACTGTACATTTTGAAGCCTATATAATTTTACTAACCAATGTCACCCAATAAATTTAATAAAAAGTTTTTATAAAGCAAGTGAATGAACAAACAAAAACTCATAGACACAGATAACAGTATGGTGGTTACCAGAGGGAAAAAAGGGTGGAAAGAGGTAGAAAAGGGTAAATAGAGTCAAATATATGGTGATGGAAGGAGATTTGACTTTGGGTGGTGAACACACAATGCAACATACAGATGATGTATTATAGAATTGTACATTTGAAACCTATATAATTTTATTAACAGATGTCACTCTAATAAATTTAATAAAATTTTAAAAATTATTGTTGTAAATATCTAGTTAATATTTAAAACTCGACATTGTTTCAACTTTTTACTATCACAGTGTCAGTCACAGTTTCCCAAGGCGGGCTTCTTAACCTATCTGTCATAAGCAATTTTACTACAGGCACTTATTTAATTTCTATTTATTTCTTGGTCGGTTGGTTTGTTTTTCTTTTGTTCCAGTTAAAAGTTTTCCTCTGGATCTTAAGTTGTATTTAACATTTTCCTCTAGGAAGAAGGAAAGGTTTTTAAAAACACAAACAAACTCACATTTGGCATAAAATAAAAACAAATAAAAATGTTGGCTGAAAACTCCATATTCACAAAGTTTTCCTGAGGCAAGCATTATAGCTAATTATTTCCATATTTGCCTGGAAAATAGTCTGAGCCTTATGAGTCTTCACTATTCAGCATTTTGATAGGAGGTTAAATGTAAGTAAAGAGCTTTTCTAATAAGAAAAGTTAAAATGTGCATACTTTAATGAAAAGTGGTTTGCAATATACTTGACCACAAGATGTAAGCTTTTGAACAACATTGAACTTGGGTAATCATTTTCCCATTGTTTTTCTTCATGTTTAATTGCTAGAACAGGAGAACAGGATCTTTTTTTTTTTTATAGTTCAGCATGTATAACAAACACTGGGCTTTTGAATCTCAAAAATAAATACGTGAATAAAGCTTAAATCATTACAAAGATGAACATCTCACCAAAGCAGTAGTATATGATTGGTCTCAGCTAGGGGAGGGCTTTAGAAAGTGACAGAGGTTCTTTATTTTCTTTTGTCTTCGGCTTCCTATTGCCTATTCAGTTTATTTAATGTGGAATATGTTTTATTTATAACAAAACAGAATTGTAGACAATTTGGCACCAATGGAAAGGAAGAAAGAACTTAAAAATATGCTGAAAGAATGGAATTATTTAATCAGGAAGAGAAGACAATTAGACAGGAAATTAACAAAATGATAAAGGTAAAATTTGAAAGTTAGTGATACCATAATATAGTATTTTTATTCAAAATCTGTGACTGGGTAGGCTTGAAAATATCTCTGTACAGTGGCCACTATTTCAACTACCCTAAAACACAGTTTCCTGGTCATCTAAACAATAGCGAAGTCCATTCTTGCCACATTCTCTAAGTCTGTAAAGAACAGCCTAGGTGAGACCCAGTAATATTGGATTGTCAGAAAAGTCATGATGCATTTTTGCAATGAAAAACACAAAAAAAAATACATCATGACTTTTCCGACAACCCAATATTAATTTATGTCACCCTCAAGTGGCTTAAGAAACAGATGCTGCTTTTTGATGACAAATTGGTAGCTATGTTAGCTTCAATGGTGAAAGAAATCCAGTGGAAAAGAAGAATGCTAGGATACAAGGAATAGCAGACACTTGCAGTTTTCAGCAAAAATATCTAAGAATACATGGACTGTTAGAAATTTCAGTGGGGTAGTAAAAACTCTGGTGAGACTGAGAGGTTGTAACAATCTAACAAGAAGAGGACTATTTTGAATTCCTGTCCAAAATTTCTGAAGGATTTATAATGCTCTAAGCCAAGATAGCCCATATTAGATTATTTGTTTGGTGTTTTATTTCTACTTTCATTTTAGCTTCATAAGAGACAGAATTTCCACTATTGTCTGATAAAGCTATAAGTTCCATCTATATATATTATATATATATATAAGTTCCACATATATATAAGTTCCATATATATATAAGTTCCATATATATATATATATATGTATATATATATATATATACTGTAATTAACCGAACACATATAATTTTAAAAAATTGTTTTCCATAAAAATTATAAATGGCAAACCAGATCTCTATTTCACTCTTTATTTTCCATGATTATATTAAGGTGTCAGATGATAATTAAATACTAGGAAAAGAAATAAGACTTTTCTAATATCCACTGGGAGATGTACAAGAGGCAAATTTAAAGAGCTGATTGTCTACATCATGTGTTTATCTGTCTCCATTAGTATTCACTAATCATATTCAGAGGCTCCCTTTATTAAAAAAAAAACAACACATAACAAATATTACATTACCTTGTTTTGCAAACAGATTGTTCGGAGATTTTCAATGATGGGTACAAGCGCAGTGGATTTTACAAAATCAAACCTCTCCAGAGCCTAGCAGAATTCTCTGTTTATTGTGACATGTCTGATGGAGGAGGATGGACTGTAATTCAGAGACGATCCGACGGCAGTGAGAACTTTAGCAGGTGTGTTAATTACGACATAAGGATTTGTCTGGAGTAGCAAATGTGAGATTCATAATAAGTAAATCTTTTTGTACTATTCTGGAATTTATTAATTAGACAGAATTTCACTCTCTAAATAAGAATACTGAAAGTGTATTAGCTAATCAAGAAAATATTGGGAGTGGGAGCTGGGAACAGCAGTGCGGGGTTGTGAGCACCTTGGGTACTGTATAGGTCTATTTGGGATTTTGCTAAAATCAGCTTTCACTTTAAATGTTTTAGAGGCTGGGATGACTATGAAAATGGCTTTGGAAATTTTGTCCAAAAAAACGGCGAATATTGGCTGGGTAATAAAAATCTTCACTTGTTAACCACTCAAGGTAAGATTTACCTAGTATCAAATTCATTTGAAATACAATAAAACAACACTAAAATGTTTTTCACTAAATCATAGGTGATAGAAATAACTCAGTAACTACTGTGATTTGCAGCTGACAATGATCCCTTTTCGGTAAAACCATCCCTTTGCAAAATGTGACTGCTTAAACCTAAGAATGGAGGTGAAGGAACTAGACCTGGGCTGTGGGTGGGGAATTTCTCATCTATGTTTTCTATTTCTGAGAAAGAAATGTAAAGTCATAGTCATTCTTTTTTTCATGCCTTGAGTGACTCAAAATATAGATATACTGTACAGTTATCTATTGCCACAATAATACTGTGTAATAAGCCACTTCAAAAATGTAGTGGCTTAAAACAACAACCATGTATTATTTCTCACAGATCTACAAGTTGGCTGGGTGGCTTTACTAATCAGCGCTGTGCTCCACTGGTCTTGGCTGGGCCTGCTCATGAGTCTGTTATCAACCTTCTAGTCAGCTAGAGGCTGGCTCTTCTAGGTTGGCCTCAGATGGAACAATTCAGCTCTGCTCCACATGGTCGCTCATCCTCCAGGGAGCTAGCCTGGACTCGGACTTGTAGCACAGACAGAATTCTGAGAGAGAGTGGAAGCACATAAGTCTCTTGAGCCCTAGAATTGGCACACAATAATTTTCACTGCTTTGTGTTGGTGAAAGGACCAGCTCAGATGTAAGGAGAAAGAAAATCAACTTAACGGGAGGCGTTACAAAGTAGAATTGCTATCAGGGGAAGGTGAAGAATTGGGGAAATTGGGGCTGTTGTTGCCATCAAAACCATACTATACTGAATGTCCTTGTTTCCATTCCCCTTCTAATTTTATTTTGAAAATTTCAAAGATACAGCAAAGCTGAAAGATGTTTCAACCTGGCACTTAAATTCTACATTAACATGTTATGATGCTTGTTCTTATCCCATATCTGTCCATCATCAATTCATTTTATTTTTTTGACACATTTCAAAGTAAATTGAAGACATCTGTAAAAGCCCCCCATATACTTTTACATGGATACCTTTAACTGGAGTTCAATATTTGTCTAAAAATAATCTTAGAAGCCTAATACTTTGTTTGTCCTTGTGTCCAATGCTTTCTAACTTTCAACATACTTATTATCCTACTTTTAAGTGTTTTATGATAGACGTATAACACTTATCATACCAGCTTCTGTTTTTTTCACATATTAATATGTATATGGTTTCTTATTGAAATTATGAAAACCTCAAAAAAGTCACCCTTGGCGCTTTCTAAATACACAATATTCATACTTTTTGTTTTTCAAGTTATTATTAAATGCTTATTCACCCAGATGCACTTGGTCAACACATCTGCTTCCCCTTCATGTTTTGATTAGTGTTCAGTCTGGCTACTCTTATGGTAGAAAAAAAATGCATTTATCAGTTCAAGGCTTCACAACCACATATCACATTATCTCAAGGAAAATCAGTGCCTGTGTCCCTGCATTCTTTAATTATGAGAACACTCAGGGCTAAGGAATTGCTTCTGAAAATAGCTTTATCCCCATTTCACAAATTTTGATGGGAGGTGTTTGCAATAAGGTTAATTTAGAAATTACATTTAGAAATATAATTGCGTTTTTATTCACTTAATGACCAAGAGATATTCAGATGACTACCTGAAGAATTGAGACTGATTTTGTATTTCTTCTATGATACAAAGCAGTTTTCGGAGAGCTAACAGCCTGCCTTACTGCTCCCCTCTCGTCCACTTCATAGTCTTGGTTCATATACGCTTTGCTGCCTTTCTATCAGGTTCTAGGGGCTCTTCCATGGAACCCCATTTTAGAGAGCTCCATGGGACAAGGAATCTGTGAAGTCAAAGTGCCAAGGCTCACAAAGGCCCACATCCCTCCTAGACGCACCCCAGTAATGGAGAATCCAGCTTTCCAAACACCCATGAGCTTGTCTCCAGGACCCATTCATGCCTCCCCATCTGTCCTGTGGGAAGGTGTTGCTGCTGGTGTGTGCTCCCTTAAGCCTGAGGGGATGTGAGAGAACAGCTTTTATTGTGGGTGTAAACAGAGCTTAGGTGTTCAGCCTGGAAAGTCCACAAGTGTGGATAAGGCCTCTTGCTGTATGTGATGGAGACAGTGCGGGAGGAGAAAGGAGGCAGACCATACACCAGGCCTGAGTGATGGGGCTCAGGGCCGCTCTCTCCTGGGCCTCCATGTTCTGGCCTGGAATCCTGAGGAGTCTAAGATTCTAAATTCAAACATGGTCTTACAGGTCATCGTGAAATATTATTTATCAAAGTAGTAGGATAGAACAGGCATTATTTAACGTTTAGTTTGATTTATAACTTCCTATGTTCCAGGCAGTAGTTCTGTTTCTGAAAAATAGCCTTTGTTATTTGCAAATGAGGAGAGAATGAAGAAAAGATGATTACAGAAGATACCAACTATTTAGTCATTATTTATATTTAAGATCAACATTCTTACGGAAAAGAAGATAAGCATTTAAACTTCTTAAAACTTCTTTTCTTTTGTTGTTAGATTTCTTCATTTATTAACTAAATGATATTTTTCTGTTGTCCTTTGCCAAGTAAATTGCACTAGCTTTTCACCTATGATAGATCTAGTAGAAATTTTCTGCCTTTAATATTGTGTCCATAATTTTTTCAAGTAAAATGCACAACAAAACATTTCATGTTGTAAATACAATGGGGTCACTGTTTATTCTTTGAAAAACTGACCCTTGGAAGAGAGAAATAGTCTAAGTAAAATAGAACTATGAATTGTTTTTAAGCCTCAGTAAGTCAGTGTCACCTCACACATTTAAATTAAATTTCTTGTTGTTATTTTCTTTTCCAGGAGACTACACTTTAAAAATCGACCTTGCAGATTTTGAAAAAAATAGCAATTATGCCCAATATAAAAATTTCAAAGTTGGAGATGAAAAGGTACAAAATTTTCAAATAAGTCCCACAAATTATGCCGAAAACATACAAGATAAGCCCTGAAGTTAGTGGAAACAAAAAATATACAATAGAACCTATTCTTTTATTTATTAAATAAGCCTATTTTAAAAATAGTGACAACTGACAGAAGTTGTCTCTGTTCCTTAGAATTCCTATGAGTTGAATATCGGGGAATATTCTGGAACTGCTGGAGATGCACTTGGCGTAAATTTTCACCCTGAGATGCAATGGTGGGGTAGTCACCAAAACATGAAATTCAGCACATGGGACAGAGATAATGACAACTATGAAGGGAACTGTGCAGAAGAAGATCAGTCCGGCTGGTGGTTCAACAGGTTTGACATTTTATAAGCATAGTTGTAATGGCGTTGATGATATCTCCCTGGTGGGCATTAATTATAATCCCCGTGTGAGGTAATGTTGGTCTTCCTTGTCATACTGGTATTATTAAGCAATCATCTTTATTAGAATTCTTCAGTGATGAAGTATTTTGAGGATTTGTTCATTGTGTACCTTAGTAAAGCTTGCAAGGTATGTCATGGAAATATATCAAATTACTACTTTTACAAAGAGTGTTTGCAACCTGAATTATGGGTGAGTTATCATAAAGAGTAGGCCACAAATTGCATGAAGAAATACAGAGCATCTACACACAGGAAAAATATTTTCAGCATTCTAATCCTCAAGTAGCTCTTCACCTTTTCCTATCATACGAAATGGCCATGTTATTGTTGTAAATTTTTCTATGTAATACTACTTTTCAATTACTGTGACTTTCATGAAATCATTGAATCCAAGCTCCTCCCAGTGCAGAAATTTCCTCTACAATATCCCTGAAACCTAATTTCACTCTCTGATTGAATATTTCAGTGTTACTTTATCAGCAAGATCATTCTATTATTGACTGTACTTCTTTCTTCTATTAACCTGAAATTTGTCACCTTTTACTTCACCAGTTTTTTTCCTGGTAACGGCAGGGTAATTATAATTTCTTTTCAAGNAAATTTGTCAACTTTTACTTCATCAGTTTTTTTTCCTAGTAACGGCAGGGTAATTATAATTTCTTTTCAAGATAACTTTTTGGGCACTGAATGAGAAGATATTTATTGTATTTATTAGTATTTTCTCTTCTCTAGGCCAGATGCTCCTGATTCCTTTAAGTCGTCTCCACCCAAGATGGTTTCCAGACAGCTCCCTTTGTTGTAATCACAAATTTAAGGCAGGAATGGAAGCTTCATAGAATCTTCCTTAATAATAACCCAATGGGCCTGGTGTATCTGCAAAGCAGATGTGCTCAAACTGTTAGGCAGTACATGAGTTTTGAACATCTTTTCTCTTTGGAAGACAGGGGCCATTTCAAAATATCTGGACATTGAAACTTTCCATTACAGAATTTTTCGTAAGTGAATATTTCTGAAATGTCAGGTTTTCTATGTAATTAAGGACTAGCCATTTAAGTTCCACAATCCAAATGTTGACATTTTTTGTTATATAAGCACTTTTAAAGCATTTAAGAGTCCTCTATCTTATTAAGTGGAGGTATACCAGACATATGTTAATTTTCCCTAAAATCACAGGAGTTCTCATTATGAGCATCAGTTATTGTGAGGTGCTGATTTAGAATTGTAGATTCTATGAAGATACAGCTAGCTCTAGGTAGTACCAAGTTGAATCTAAGCAGTTGTAAAAACAGTATTTTCTCTGGATTTTGCTTTTCTAAAAGTGTGAGTCCATTTAGGTTTTGGGAACTGGAGCACATACAGCAGTGAAAGGGGACAGAGAAACAAAGCTATCTTTCCTATTTAGCAAATCAAAGATAAATGGCAGTCTTGTCTCCAGTGGTTTTCTTGTTCTTTTAGAAACCATTTTTCTTACCTTCTCTTTCTCCTCATTTTTCTTCTCCTGGTCCTTCTAAGTTAGCATTATGTAAAAATGATCAGCGTTAGGTAAAACTTCCTATAATTCACAAAATCGCAAGCATCCCTTAATGTTTGATTTGGAACAGAATTCCATTTGCAGAAATGACAATCAGCTAATGTTACCATAAGATCAAAACTGTGTACCTTTTCAGTTGATTGGCTTGTATCATGCCTGAGTGACAACTGGCACACATATTAACCTGGGAAAATAAATGATTTACTTGACTTTAAAGATAGGGGTTCAAGGAGGACAAAGGCAGTTCAGTAGCTGGAGGCCCTTAGGGGGCCTGGCTGCATCATCCTTGGAGTCAAAGGAGATGATGATAAGGCTGTGCAAGCAGAAAATTAGCAAAGCTAGAGAAAAAGCCAATTGTCCCAGAAGCTTGATGTAGCTTCTATCATGCCTGCTAAGGTTAACTTTATCATCCTCATTATTTTTTTCAGCCCCATAGTTTTTCTAATTTAAATGAAATGTGGGCACTTCATAATTATCACCCACCTACGAGGTGTTCTTTCTCCACATAGCAAACCAGTCACAGGGTGTTGGTGTCTTCTCTGCTTTGCTCGTGTAGCATAACATTTCATGTGGGTGCTCACACCTACTTCTTCGCCAGGGGAGCCCCAACCATCTCCCGATCGAGTTCCAAGTCCAGGCTGTTCTAGAAACCGAAAGATGCTGGAAAATTGGTCTCAAAATAACTAAGGTTTCCTCTGTTGACCATACAGTCAATTCCTAATGAGATTCAAATCACAGACCAAATAAAAATGTATATGTAGTAGATGTCTCTAGGAAGATGGAGACACACCAAGGTACAGATTCTGGAGGCCCAATTTAGAGGAGTGTTTGCTTTTTTGACAGTACTTTCCATGCAGTTTTAAAAACACAGTACGTTCTTGACACTTGCAGATTTAGTATACATGGTTTCGATTAGTTACATCTATTTAAATTAGGAGGACAGTCAGGATGGTCAGCAGGGGTGAGTCACTAAGCTGGTAGGTGATCCAACCCAACACTCCTCATTTATGGGTAAATTATATGTTTTTTTAATTCAATAATGTGGGTGCTTTCCATAGATTTTTTCAGAACTATCCTTTGTGAATGTTCTCTTTATATTCTAATGCCTGACATCTTTTCATTGGTTATATTATATCAGTAAAGAAATATGTAGCAATTCATTTCATAATGGCACACAGAAAATGATCACATACTCCTAGTTTATCCATATCAGGGACAAATTTTACATATTTTAAAGGAGGAAGGGAGGCATTTTAAAATTTATGATAACCTAACCCACTTATCCACAATAGATTGGAGCAATATATTAGAGTAAAAAATTAACTTAGCAACTTGGACAAATGATTATTGGTTGATGGCTGGTAAAACTTTAAATGGTGGGTTTAGGCTTTGTTTACTTACCCTTGAGGTTAAAATGATTGCTACGCTAGAGATTTTAAAAAAGGGAGGAAGAAAGTTTGAATTATGAAATCTAAGTTTTGGCAGCAGATGGGTGAATGTGTAACTGCAAATTATCCAGGAAAGCTGGCAGCACAGCACTGTACTCTGTTAACCCAAATCACTCTTACTAAGGCTGAAGGTTACAAGGTTATGTTTTTGCTTGCTTGGGATTTTTGTTTGTTTGTTTGTTTAAAGGCTATTAAGAACAGAGGTGCTTCTTTATCAATACACTACCAGTGTCCTGCCTTGTATTCTCAGATTTGTTAATGCAGTAAAATCCACATTAAAAAAACAACAACAAACTAACATCTTTTGTAGAAATAGCTTAGCTTTTGAAAACTGATATTTTCTTATCTGAAAGATGGAAGAATTCATAGTTAAAATGTTTTTGATCATTTGCTAGCAAAAAAAAAAAGGGAATTAGAAGGATATTTTTCTATTCTGATTGTTCTGTGTTTATTTTTTTCTCCCACTAGATGTCACTCTGCAAACCTGAATGGTTTATATTACCCAGGCTCCTATCGCGCTGAAACCGACAACGGGATTATCTGGCACACTTGGCATGGATGGTGGTATTCTTTGAAATCCGTGGTTATGAAAATTAGGCCAAATGATTTTATTCCAAATATTGTTTAATTGTCCCTTGTGGGCTTTCATTTCTGCAATTCATCTTGGTTTAAAGTGATTTGAAAAATAGCAATTCTGAACACGTAGATATATGATCGCCATCATAATTGTGATGTGTATTACTTTTAATTCTCAACTTGATTTTAATACTTAATGTCATTTCAGTACAGCAAATATATGATATTCACCAAATAAATGTATATTATGTTAATATTGACTGAACTCCTATGTACAGAGGGCTATGATAAGAGCTTATGTTGAACAAAAAATAAAAAGCATAGAATATATGCCACAACTTGGGAGATAATACAAGCATAAATGCACAATAAATTATGTACGAATGCAGTTGGAAAATACACATGAACAAAATCCAGCAAACAATGGATTGGCCAAATCAACTACATGGATAATAAATATTATGAGTAGGGATATGAACTCAGGTTTCTGACTACAGAGCTGAAACTCTTGTAAACACAACCCAGGATCTTAATCACTCACTATAAAATACTATCTCATATTTTTAGGATGTTTATGCAGGTTATACTCTTCTTTCAGATGCCTGTCTTATACCAATCCTGTGAAGTATTATTATCCCCATTTAACAGAGCCAACAATTTATGGATCTGAGATTTTGTGACTGCTCAAAGTTACAAAGCTAATAAATAAATAGGGGAACAAGGACGTCAATCCAAGTCTTCTGATGCTGAATGTAATGTTTTGCCACCGTGCTACAGGTTGTTCTGGATAGAATTTGGATAGGTGAGGTGGACAGAGAACCCTTCAAGTGAGAGTAAAAGCATGACTAAAGGCAAGCTGTTACCCCAAAACATTTGAGTACCAAAAGTGTCACGCACAGAGGCTACATACAGTTGAAGTCCACATGAAGCTCAGGGTTGTTTTTGGGGGTTTTGTTTTTTGTTTTTTAAATAAAGACGTACACTAATCATATAATCACAAACATATAAATATTTTAAAAGCTGGTAAGCATGAAGGAAAAATATGTACCCGGGGACTGTATAGCAGGGGACCTGACCTGGCTTCGGGGGAGAGGATCAGAAAAGGTTCCAGTCGGTTCAAGTCCAGCCCGAGCTGAGCAGCCGCTGAGCTGCCAATAGGTAGCAGGATGGCTCAGCTAAAAAAAAAAAAAAAAGGTTCCAGGAAGAACAAACTTTTTGAGCTAAGATCTTTTAATTAGGAGTACGTGGGAAATCATTGCAGGCAGAGGGAATCCCTTGTGTGAAGTACACAAAGCATGAAAGTGCATGGAAACAAAAAATGATTTGAGAGGCACTATCACTTAGTGATCTTTATGGCTTAAACCAATGATGCTGCCACTTCACAGCTGTGTGACCTTGAGTAGGCTACTTAACTTCTCTGAACCTCAGCTATCTCATCTGTAAGATGAAGATTATAATACTACCTGCCTCATAGGCTTAAGTGAAAATTACACGAGTAAAGTACTTAGAATAATGCCCTGCACAAAGTTAGCAGGCAGTAAGAACTAGCTGTGATTATTCGTGAAACAGGCATTAAGGGACAATAATAATAGATGTCTTGAAATAACGAGTCACATAAAGATGTTAGTTAGTAGTTATACTTTATCCTTGAACCAGTGTTTTCTGAAGCGGTGCTTCTTCACCTTTAATAGCATACAAATCACCGGGGGTTCTTATTAAAAATGTAGATGATGATTCTGGGCTGGGGCCTTAAGATTCTGGTTTTTGAACAAGTTTCCAGACGATACAAACGCTGCTGCTCTAGGAGTCACACTTTGAAAAGCAAGGATGTGAGATAGTAATAGTTAACACAGGAAGAAAAGGGCTCCTTGAGCAAATGGGTTTAGGAGATGATATAGTAAACAAAACTCCACAGATTTCTTCTCTTGAGTATTTCTCAGTCCTTGAATAGTCTAACGTGCATTCTGAAGTTCCAAGAGGGATATATAGTATGTTGCATTTGGATATCCAGTTAGAAGTGTGTTCAGCTGCAAGGTCACCTGATTTTGGAAGTCCAAACAAATAGGGATTTGTTTGTCTTACGTAACAAGAACTCAGGAGGTAGAAGGCTGCTGGCCCAGGCTCAGTGCCCTGCAGTGTGAAAGCTGATATGGCTGCAATTCACTTTGCCCTTCCTTCAAAATCACAAGCTGTCTACTGCAGCTCCTGCTTCCAGTCCATGTCCAAAGCAGGAAGAAGAGGGAAGGGTCAACAGACTTCAGTCTCTGCCTTATTGGCCAGAAGTGTGTCATCTGGTCACTCCATCTGGAAGTCCGCTCA